CCCTAAAACCCTGAATCCCTAAAGCCCTAAATCCCTAAACCCTGTTGAATACTGTAGCTCCTGCGGTGTCAGGATGATGACGAGTTGATGAACTTTCCGCCGAGCCTCGTCACTCAGGGTCCTGGGGGTTGGCCTAGAGGTTCCCAGAAAGATTCATGACAGGTTTTCAAGATGACAGTTCTTGATTCATTATAATTACAGGGGTTTCGGTAAGGATTCTTAAAAAAGGTTTCAAAAAGAGGTGTCTGAGAGGGGTCTAGGGCTTTACAGTTTAGGCTTACGTGTTTCCTGACTAGGGAGTTGAGCTTGGGCCTTAAGCCGGTTTTGGGTTGAGAGTTCAGCTTCGTGGTCCCGATATGTTTGTTTTACCATGAACCTCTTTAGTATTTAGGGGGCCTACCGTTTGGGGCCGGGTAAGGGTTTAGGGTTTAGGGTTTAGGGTTTAGTGTTTAGGGGGGGAACTTGAGGGCGTAGTGGGCGTTGTGCTTGTCTGTCGAAGAGTTCCATGCGCTTGTCTTTTGGTGCTTACCATGTTTGACACAGTGTTTTGCTCTCAAGTTTGGGAGATCTTGGCCCATGTTGGGGAATGTTGTTGGCTTGCCGCGGTTTGGGCTTCCTAGCTTTTTAGCCGTTCAACGTTGAAGCGAACGCACAAACAAATCAGAGGTTTAGTTCTGCTTTTCCTCACATGGATCAGAACGGAGCGGCCGAGGAACTTCTCCGTGGTGGACGTCCAGCTGCTGCTAAGCTCCGTGACTTCATCTGTCCGGTTTCTCACCCCACCGGAATAAAACCTGAACCAGCAGAAGAGGGTTTGGGGGTATATCATTTCTACTTATGTACGTAATATAGGGGCCTTAATAATTATTTTCGGGGCTCCTTATTATAAATTATACTGTAAAGGAGCCCAGAACCCTATTATAATTATTAAGGCCCCTACAGTAGGGACTTTCAGCGGATGCTATGACTATTCCGTCCGACACCTCTAGGAAGAGAGGCCTTGCACCCGAAGCCCGCAGCCCTGGTTGCCGATCATACTATTACGGTTTAGGGTTTAGGGTTTAGGGTTTAGGGTTTAGGGATACTATAGAAGGCTTCCTGGAAGGATTCTGATTCTACGAGGGTTCTTTAGGGTTTAGGGTAGGGAGCTTTGGGATATAGTTCCCTTATGAGGGTTCATATAAGGCTTTTATAAGGGCTCGATGGGGCCTTGAGTTTAGCCTCCCGAAGCCGATCCCGAAGAACAGAGGTGATGCTGCTGTGCGTCGCACCGAACGGCTTCGCGATCTCCGCAATGTGCTGCAAGGAGCGGGGTTGGCTAATTTAGGGGCCTTAATACTTACCTATACTATTTTGGGGGGTTCCTTATTATAACTTCTCACTATAGTATAACATACCCCCAAAACCCTATCCCAACTATTAAGGCCCCTACATTAAGCTAATGGGTCCTAAGTTCATGTATGGTGGGATACTTACCCCAACCATACCACTGGTTTCTACTATCGAAAGCTGGCTCGACTCTACTACTGGTCGTGAGGGTGTAGAGGGGTCTAAGACAAACTTGGCGTTTGGACTGGTTTGGAGCAAGAGACCATGGGGTTAAAAAGGACTTGTTAGGGGGGTTTTAGGGTTGTATAAGGGTAATGGTTTTCATGTTTTACGGAATGAGGCTTAAAGGTTTGTGGGGGAGGGCATTGAGGGTGTTGGGTGTCAGTAGGGTTTGGGGATAAGCCAGGAACCTTCCAGCCAACATGCCCGAAAAGCGCCGAAGCCATAGAACCCGAAGCACCCAGTGCTCGAAACCCTAAACTCCCTAAACCCACAGGACTCGTCTCTGCTCTTCAGGCCCGCTTTGCTTGTCTTTCCTAGCGATTTGCGATTAGCAGGTGGGCTGTTCAGATCGAGGCATTCCTTGTGCCATCTTGATACTTGGAGGTTCATGGGTACTTATAAGAAAAGCTGGGTCATAAGTAGTCTTAACTATATTTATATCCCATATTGGGGGACTTATAACACCGCGTATACCTACCCATGATCCTCCAAGTGGGGCTTATGGACCCCTTCTTTGCTGTAATTAGACAGCTGCCCCTGGAGGGGGAAGCAACGGAACTCTGTTCTGGGATGTTGGGGTGTGCTGCGGTCTGTCTTCAGCATGAGCAGAGAAATGCAGCGCGGGAGTTTCCATATGCCGGTGTGACCATCAGATTGATCAGATCATCATGATCCTTGCTATCACGTCTTGAATCAGTTTTGTTGTTCTCACTAGAGGAGGTAAAGGCAGTAGCAAGTTCTGCTGTCGCCTCGCTTGCCGCTGCGATGCTCTTGTGGGTTGAAGACGATGTTTTTCAGTAAACGTGCGCGCGACCCACGGAGCTATCTGCGAGTCGGGCCTCCAAGTCCTCTGCAGGCTTAAGCCCAAACCCTACTGTAACCCCCAAACCCTAAACCCTAAACCCTTAAATCCCTAAACCCTAAAATCCCTAAAGCCCAAACCCTCAGCCCAAGCTATCCACATGGGGATCCTTGAAGGCCCCGATCCCTGAAGCTTCTTACTAACCGTAGCTGAAACCCCTTCCTGTAAGGGCCCAGTCTGCATAGGCACGAGCCCCAGTACCCCTAAGAGCACCCAGAAGCCCAATAACGGCGAGTGCCAAAAGGACCGCCCCAGTTAATATAGGGGCCTAAATAATTACCTATATTCTTTTTGGGGTGCCTCATTATAATTCTCGTAAAATGGGCCCCAAAACCCTATTCTAATTCATAAGGCCCCTATATTATGCACAATTACGCATGATGTTGTTTCCTATGGGCCGATCCTGTAGGATGCCTTGGAAGGTCGGCGGGCCCTCAGTGCCCTTGAGCCTTCTGCCCACAAGCCTACAAGCTGAAAACCCTTACCCTAACCCTCCAGGTACCTACTATATAGGGCCTTAGGGGCTCTAGTACCCTGTATAGTAGGTACCTGGGGGGTTAGGGTTGAAGCAAACAGCAAATCCGTTAAAGCTGTTAAAGTACACTACAGACCCTTATTTTGAAGCCCTGATCCGAGGCTCGTAAAGCTTTTCAAGTCTTCAAGAGCCCTTCCACAGCCACAAAGTTCAGGAGAAGTCTGAACCCTAAACCCTGAAACCCTATAAACCCCTATTTAAACCCCTAAACCCTGAAACCCTATAAACCCTGAAACCCTATAAACCCCTAAACCCCTAAACCCTAAACCCTAAACCCCTAAACCCCTAAACCCTAGCGCCTTTTTCAGGAGAAGTTTGGCGCAGAATCCTGGGTCTTTTCTGGCCCGGAGTTGAAGGCTCATTCGAATCTGAACCCCTGGGGGCACCTTGGCTACATTGGGTTTAGGGCTTATAGGGTTTATAGGGTTTATAGGGTTTAGGGTTTAGTAGTGTTTTATAAAACACTGGCTACATTGGGTCTAGGGCTTATAGGGTTTATGGGGTTTAGGGTTTAGGGCCCCGGGTTTAGTAATTTAGGATTTGGGGTCTAGCTCCAGGGATGCACCGTTTAGTGCATTGCAGTCCATGCTCAAAAGAGTTCCAGTGGTTGCAGACAGTGCAACACGCTTCGCATGGTCAGCCATAAGCGCTGACGTGTGGAGCTTGGCTGAAGGGGTTCAGGGCATAGTGCATTGCAGTCCCTGCTTGAAAAAAGCTCCTGGAGAAACAAAGGTGTAGGATTTTGTTTGTACATACACATATACATACATACATACATACATACATACATACATACATACATACATACATACATAAATAAACACATAAATACACACATACATACATACATGCATGCATACATACATACATACATACATACATACACACATACATACATGCATGCATTGCATTGCATTGCATTGCATTGCATTGCATTGCATTGCAGTGCAGTGCAGTGCAGTGCAGTGCAGTGCAGTGCAGCGCAGTGCATTGCATTGCATTGGATTGGATTGCATTGCAATGCATTGCATTGCATTGCATTGCACTGCATTGCATTGCATTGCATTGCATTGCATTGCATTGCATTGCATTGCATTGCATTGCATTGCATTGCATTGCATGCATCCATACATACATACATACATACATACCTACGTACATACATACATACATACATACATACATACATACATACACACACATATATATATATAGATACACATATATGCGTATAATCATGTGTCATGTATGTGTATATATATATATATATGTATATGTATATATGTATCCATATGCGCATATGGTTCAGGGTGTAGGCTTCAGTGTTGATGGTTCAGGGTCTAAGGTCTTGTTGGTTACAGCTTTTACTTGATTGGGATGTTCATTCCTACAGTCGCTGCTGCCTTTTTGGAGGTGGTTTGTTGTGGTGTCAGCCGACCTTGCTATGAAGGTTTCCATGATCATGCCGTCCAGGATTGAGGGTCTGGGCTTTGGGTTTTGATTTTCTTAAGAGCCAGAAAACAGTATATTTGGGACCCTAAAGGGGACCTTAAAAGAGGGACCCTAATTTAGAGAACTACCCAGCTAGCCTACCATTTGAGGTTCCTCGTGCCAGAGATGGAGAAGGAGCTGTCTTTGAGAGTTTGGCCGGGGAAGGGGCTAATTCCTTCTCCCTTCCTGACACAGGCCAGAGCTCCCGGTGCAACTACCCTTTTAAATGCTGTCTAGGGTTCAGGGTTCAGGGTTTAGGGTTTAGGGTTTTAGGGTTTTAGGGTTTAGCGTTTAAGGTTTAAGATTGGGGGATATTTCGGCAAGAGGTTTCGCTTCCGACAAGCTTGATGCTAAGTACGACTGTCCCCATTGGAAGGAGTGTTGCAGTGTGCACTTGTTGATGGTTGCGTAGTTGAGTGTACCGGGCGTGGGCTGGAGAGGTTACGATTCTCGTTCTGGATTGGAGTTTTGAATGGAGACACTGCGGCAGAAATCAAACAGTGAACCTCAACCAGTCGGTTCTCGTTCTGAAAAGGGTTCATGGTAGAAGCTTTGACCGACAAGCCTCGGACGCCAGAGGAAAGCATACACAACCTTTTCCTTCGTGGTATTCTAGGGCTTAGGGTTGACACCCTACAACCTTTGAGTGCGGCATGTTTATCCTGCACAAAGTCTGGAAGCCAGAAGTAGCTAGCCTAACACCACAACTCCAGGTCTATAAAGGCACACCATGCACATCTCTATTGGCCTTGCAGCATCAATCCATGCACACTTCGATCCAGAAGCTTCCTTCAACATCTCAAGAAAACCCAATAACCCCTACAAGCCTCAACCCCTGTCGGGCCTCCGATCCCCACTAAGCAAGCCTTATAACCCCGCACTGCTGTGTGGCCCCTACAACCCCTACAAGTCCTACAACCCCAATTCCCCCTATAGACCATGTACGTCCTGCAACTCCTATGTCCTTAAGCCCTGTACGCCTATCGGCCCTATCCTACAACCCGTAAGTCCTCATGAAATCGTTGTACCAATCCTTGCAAACCCGACTCTTCGCTAGGAGATCAAGCCTAAAAGCGCGAAGTCCGCTGTAGCTCCTATGAGCCCTTATAATTTCTACTGTACATCCTGCCGCTACTAACTACCCCTGTGAACCCTACAAGCCTATGTAGAGAACCAAGAGACAGGGGATGAAGCTTATGAGCCCCAAAACCAAAAAAAGGTCTAAAGAGTGTGCGTGGCAACAAAGATATAAACCCTATAAGGTGTGATAGCAATCCTAAGCCCCTAAACTCCAAGCTGAACCCTATGAGGTGGGATAGAGCCCTGAACCCAAAACTTGAACCTTCCAAAATATCCTAGAACCCTTCAGGGGGACCCTCTTCTAGAATCATAGAGTGCCCTTTAGATTCCTTTTCGGACCCCCTTCATGAGAGCCAGGAGATGAAAAGCTTGGGAGAAAGTGGCCGCTGGTTCCTCTCGCGCAACGACGCGGGTGTCTTGCAGGACATGCTGCGCGGTTGAATGAGTTGGCTTTGGGGTGTACGGTTGGGGTTATAGAAACCCTGAGCCTTAAACCGGTTCCTGTGCTTCAAGATGAAGTCAACTTGCCAGTACTTGAGATGAGACAGCGGGGATCCTACCTGAGGGAATTCATTTCTTTTAGGCTTGGATTGTGGTTGGTTGTTTGTTTGGTTACATGCTCGGGTTCTTGATTTCGCTTGCGCAGGCAACCCTACGAATTTGATGCGTGAGACTTTCAGCCCCTAAGTAACCTTGCTGTGAGCTTTGATCTCTGCCATGCGAGAGGGAAAAAACCTTAGGGTTCGGGGTTATAGAAACCCTAAGCCACAAATCCTAACTCTTACTGTTTATAGGGCTAGGAGGCCCTACAGACTAGTTAGGAACCCTAACATCTGGGGTTCCGGGTTCAGGAAACCCGACAATCCGCAGCCCTCGGGGTATGGGTTTCTGAATATATTTGTCACCGGAACCTAAGGGCGCCACAAGCGAATCTAGAAGGGCCTTCCTCAAGACAGACAGGAGTTGTATCACAAAGCGCACTGAAGAATTCTAAAATAATGTCCTCTTGTGTATCGCGTCTGAGATAGTCATTCTACATCTTGCTACACTGTGTTTCAAGAAGGTCTCCTAACTTCAAGCCCATTCAGGAGGTCGAAGTGTTCATTTTGGTGTTTGCTGACCTGAGGGCGGGTAGTACAGCGCTTCGAGGTTGAGCCTTTTGTCTACATGTGGTACAAATTTTCAGAGCTTGGGTTTTGAGGCTGCAAGGATGTAGAGCTTGAGGCTAGGGTGCGGGCTTGTCCAATCTCAGAACATGGGGCCCTAGCGAGGGCATGCGAAAAAGGGTTCGGAGCCCAAAGACGAAAGAAAGCAGCCCGGTTGAGAGTCCAAGCTTCAGGACAGAAAGCCTCATGCAGAAGATGACGAGTTCCAGGGCCCCTAAGTCCTATAAACCCCAAGGTCTAAACCCTAAACCCTCGTGCAAGCTAAGCTGAAAGCTCGTAGTTTAAGGCCCAAGGGTCCTAGGCCTTAAACCCCTGACGCCCTAGAATGTAGAAGCCGGAAGAATCACCAATATTGTGCTTTGGGGTTCCGCACTATGACGAAAATAGAATACACTCCAAGCCCTCCCTATTCTAACTACAACCCTAAACCCTAAACCCTAAACCCTAAACCCTAAACCCTAAACCCTAAACCCTACTACTGTTGCTAGTACAATTTGTAATTATTCGGGCCCCCTATATTTAGGCGTTGCCCGCATGCTGAGGTTACGCTCCATGAGATCGGTAAGGTCTCAGATGAAGATCGAGGGCGGGCGTCTCGGCTTCAAGCCCATCACTATTTGTTCAAACACACAACCTCCAATATCTGGTGGGTTTCGGGTTTAGGTATTTTTCAAGTCCACCACTCGCTACTTGTTCTCAAATACAAAACCTTCAAAATCGGGGGATTTTTGTAAGTTGCATTCTTCTGAAACATGGTATGTCCTTCGGCTATTTGGGCTCGTTTAGAAAGGGCTTGAAGTTTCGACTCTGTCGAGCTGAGCCTGGCATCTTACGGCGGTTCAGAGCTGTCTAGAGTCTAGAAGTTGTGCATAGGTTTCACGGTCGAGCGGCTTTGCTCCGTCGTCCACTACGAAGCTCCATGACATGCCATCAATGCCAGCAAGACCGGAGCCGAACAGAGCACGACAGATCAAGGCCTTATGCACCAAAAACACTATGCTCGAAACCCCTGTAACTTTCAAGTCCCAGCAGTCGTTCACCAGGAGGAGGAAGAGCCAGGCGATTCAGAGCGAAGAAGCGTGGCAGTTCATCTCTGCATCTCGCCGGCCTCTAGCAGCCAGGAGCCCGAAAAGCCCTGGAGTCCCAGACCCCGAAATCCCAGGAAACCGTGAACCGCCGTACTCTGAAGCCCCAATGAAATGCCAAGAGAATTCAGAGCTTTCGGACCGTGTGGTATATACACTAGCATCCCTGGTGTGCACGGTGAAGGGTGTAGGGAACCTTTTGGGGTCTATCTGGCAGGGCTTTGACCCTGGGGACCCTTCGGGGGAAGGGGGGGTAGGGGACGATACTTCCTTACATAGACTTTATTAGATCCTTATAAGATTTGGGGTTTATCATGTGCAACTATGTAGGTATGTGTGTAGGTATGTATGTATGTATGTATGTATGTATGTATGTATGTATGTATGTATGTATGTATGTGTGTATGTACGGATGGATGGATGGATGGATGTATGCATAGACACATCTGCCATACACACACAGGCATATCTATCGATATAGCAAGCCGTACAGATACAGATAGAGATATAGATATAGAAGAGCAAGAGTTCGAGCCGCCATCATGAACGTGGCAACTCAGCCTTTGGCAGCGGTCATAGCCACACAACCGGTACCGTGGTGAGTAACAATGCATTCGGCGGTGTTTCTACTGGCGACTCCAAATGACCGGAACGATAACGAACAAACAGCCGGATAGACAGAGCATTATGCAAGAGAAATAGATATTGAATCCTGTTCCGTTGATCATCTCAAACTTTGGAAAACTAGCCCACAAGTTTCAGTTACGCGACCATCAGCTGCAGCATGCTGAAAGACGAAGCCCGAAGCCCAACCAATCCAAGTCCTTTCCGCACGTGCTGCAAGTGATTACCATGATGCCTGTAGACTGACGCTCCGTCCTTGCTTTAGCGTCGAAGTTCCAGAAAGGCAGGCAACCGAACCAGGATGTACAGTACGCAAATATTCTCCGAGTCCCAAGCCCAGACCTTACACCGCGATGCTCTGCCAAAAAGCAAGGAAGATTCCATCAAAGAACTTCTGGAAAGGCTTCTCGAATTCCGGAAAAATTTGCAGGCCGCTGGGAATTCGCTTGGCTTTTGGGGTCTGTGCTCGAGTGTGGTCTGGTTTTTAGCATCCCTAGCGCTCCAGGTACCCAAACAGAAAGATCGCTACTGGGTTACATATACTTAGGTAACTGGAGACTAGGATATGGCAGCAGGTGCGGAAGCAGAATGCCGCAAAGCTTGACATTCGAGCAGAGCTCACGCAGGTCTCGGCCGTGTGTTCGGGGCTTTGACTGTGTCGATGTGTATTGCCTAAACCCTGGACCCTTTACTGAGGATGCCAAATGCAACACACAGCGTAAGCCTAAGGGTCCATGTGCCCATGATATAGTAGGTCCTAAGTACCTATACGTGGGATAGTCCTTCCTACTATAAATGCACTACTTCCGACTACATTACGTAATCTTGCGGCCTAAATAGTTTGGCCACCCCCCCCCCCCCCCCC